ATCATTTTTCACTATTCACTATGTACTATCACTATTTTAAGAAATTTATAATGCAATTTACAACTTTTCAGAGCCAAAATTACATATGAACTATTCCAACTTTTTAAGTCGATGCGCGCGTGACTTACTCTCACGAAATCGACCACTGAAATGAAGAGAGGCAAAAGTTGGAGACCTGGGCGAATGGGGAACGGTTCAAAGATGGCCGCCATTCTGTTTTCTCCTTTCACGTTTCCTAATTCGTTTTAACTACACTGTGCAACTTGAAAACCATTTACAATTTGATATTTTAATAACTTAAATTTCAGTTTGGCGAGAAATGAATTTTAAAATTATTCATGCTATTACGCGCATAAATATTTCGATTAATAAAACTGTAATATTTGATTTTTTTATTTCCCCAATAGATTATAAAATATTCCCCATAACTTTGACATAATTTGTTCTATAACATTTCTAATGCATAGTACAGTGTAGAGTGTAGTGCACGGTTTCAGTCATTTTAAGCTGCTGCGCGCGTAACTTACTCTCCCGAAATGGATAACGGAGAAGAAGAGAGACCACCTAGGGAGTCCTTAGCGAATGGGGAAAGGTTCAAAGATGGCCGCCATGCTATTTGCTCCTTCCCATTTCCTAATTCGTTTTGACTACACTGTGCAACGTGAAAACCATTTTCAATTTCATATTTCAAAAATTTCAAATTTAATTTTGCGAAAAATGAATTTTTAAAGTTTTTATGCTGCTGTTAATTTCGCATAAGTTCACATAGATGTCGCCAAAAAAGGAATATAGAAACAACGCTTATATTTACGCTTAAAAGCGTTTGCCACTTGTTAATAAAGAAGTGTAACTCACCAGAAAAATATAGAAATTAATTATTTCACAACGAAATCTTAAACGGGAATCACTTTTCACTATTCACTATGTACTATCACTATTTTAACAAATTTATAATGCAATTTACAACTTTTCAGAGCCAAAAATCTTTATATGAACTATTCCAGCTTTTTAAGTCGATGCGCGCGTGACTTACTCTCACGAAATCGACAACTGAAATGAAGAGAGGCAAAAGTTGGAGACCTGTGCGAATGGGGAACGGTTCAAAGATGGCCGCCATTCTGTTTTCTCCTTTCACGTTTCCTAATTCGTTTTAACTACACTGTGCAACTTGAAAACCATTTACAATTTGATATTTCAAAAACTTAAATTTCAGTTTGGCGAGAAATGAATTTTAAAAGTATTCATGCTATTAACGCATAAATATTTCGATTATTAAAACTGTAATATTTAAATTTTTATTTTCCGCAATATATGATTATAAAATATTCCCCATAACTTTGACATCATTTTTTCAATAACATTTATAATGCAATTTAAAACATTTTAAGCCTAAATGAAATGCAAACATACATATATGGATGTACAGTTTCAGTCATTTTAAGCTGCTGCGCGCGTAGCTTACTCTCCCGAAATGGATAACTGAGAAGAAGAGAGACCACCTAGGGAGTCCTTAGCGAATGGGGAACGGTTTAAAGATGGCCGCCATGCTATTTGCTCCTTCCCATTTCCTAATTCGTTTTAACTACACTGTGCAACGGAAAAACCATTTACACTTTCATATTTCAAAAGTGTTAATCTTAATTTTGCGAAAAATGAATTTTGAAAGTTTTTATGCTGCTGTTAATTTCGCATAAGTTCACATAGATGTCGCCAAAAAAGGAATATAGAAACGACGCTTATATTTACGCTTAAAAGCGTTTGCCACTTGTTAATAAAGAAGTGTAACTCACCAGAAAGATATAGAAATTATATATTTCACAACGAAATCTTAAACGGGAATCACTTTTCACTATTCACTATGTACTATCACTATTTTAACCAATTTATAATGCAATTTACAACTTTTCAGAGCCAAAATTATATATGAACTATTCCAGCTTTTTAAGTCGATGCGCGCGTGACTTACTCTCACAAAATCGACAACTGAAATGAAGAGAGGCAAAAGTTGGAGACCTGTGCGAATGGGGAACGGTTCAAAGATGGCCGCCATTCTGTTTTCTCCTTTCACGTTTCCTAATTCGTTTTAACTACACTGTGCAACTTGAAAACCATTTACAATTTGATATTTCAAAAACTTAAATTTGAGTTTGGCGAGAAATGAATTTTAAAAGTATTCATGCTATTACGCATAAATATTTCGATTATTAAACCTGTAATATTTAAATTTTTATTTTCCGCAATATATGATTATAAAATATTCCCCATAACTTTGACATCATTTTTTCAATAACATTTCTAAGGCACAGTACTGTGTAGAGTGTAGTGTGTGTATTGTACAGTTTCAGTCATTTTAAGCTGCTGCGCGCGTAACTTACTCTCCCGAAATGGATAATTGAGAAGAAGAGAGACCACCTAGGGAGTCCTTAGCAAATGGGGAACAGTTCAAAAATGGCTGCCAAGCTATTTGCTCCTTCCCATTTCTTAATTTGTTTTTGTGCAACCTAAAAACCACTAACAATTTTATATTTAAAAAACTTTAATTTAAATATTGCGTCAAATAAAGAATTTTCAAAGTTTTTATGCTGTTCGTAATTTTGCATAAATATTTAGATTTTTAAAACTGAAATATTTGATTTTTTATACTCCATAATTATAAAATAAATCCCATAACCTTAACATAATTTTTACGTGGGTAAATTTGTACTCAATAAAATTCACTTAGATGTCGGGAAATAAGGACGATGGAAACGACGCTTATATTTACGCTTAAAAATGTTTGCCAATTGTTAATAGAAAAGGTAACTCACCTTAAAAATATTTTAATTAACCAATTCACAAGAAAATCTTAAAAAAAAAAAATTATTTTAAATCACTTTTCACTATTTACTATAAACTGATTTAGTAAATTTTAAACAACTGAATCATCACTAAAAAAAAATTAAAAAAAAACACTTTTCACTGTTTAATATACCCTTTTCTCTGGTTTAATTTATTTTTAACAACAAAATATTCACTAAAAAAAAATATAAAAAAAACCTTTTCCTCTTTCTCTATGCCTTTTCACTAATTTGATAATTTTTTAACAACAAAATCTTCACTACAAAATCACTTTTCACTATTAACTTTCACTGATTTAATAAATTCTTAACAACACTATCAATTTTCTTTATTTACTATATACTTTCACTGATTTATGTAATAGGTAACACCAAAATCTTCACTAAAAAAAATACAAAAAAAAACACTTCTCACTATTACCCTTTCACTAATTTAATAAATTTTTAACAAAATCTTCACTAAAGAAATCACTTTTCACTATTCACTATTAACTTTCACTGATTTCATAAATTCTTAACAACACTTCATTTTTCTTTATTCACTATAAACTTTCACTGATTTATAAAATTTGTAACACAAAAATCTTCACTAAAAAAAAATAAAAAAAATCACTTCTCACTATTACCCTTTTAATAATTTAATCAATTTTTAACAAAATCTTCACTAAAGAAATCACTTTTCACTATGAACAATTAATAAACTTTCACTGATTTATACACTTTTAACAACACAATCACTTTTCACTATTCACTATAAGCTTTCACTAATTTGGTAAATTTTTAACACCAAAATCTTCACTAAAAAAAAAATATAAAAAAAAAACACTTTTCACTATACATTTCCTTTAATTTAATAAATTTAAAAAAAATCTTCACTAATCAAAATCACTTTTCACTATTCACTATTAACTTTCACTGATTTATACATTTTTAACACTATCACATTTCACTATTCGCTATAAACATTCACAGATTTAGTAAATTTTTCACAATAAAATCTTCACTAAAAAAAAATTAAAAAAAAAAATTTCTTTAATTTATTAAACTTTTAAAAATATCTTCACTCAACAAAATCCCTTTTCACTATTCACTTTCACTGATTTATACATTTTTAACAACACTATCACTTTTCACTATTCACTATTCACTATACACTTTCAATAATTTTATAAATTTTTAACAACAAAATCTTCACTAAAAAATCACTTTTTACTATTCACTTTATTAAGCTGATGCGTGCGTCACTTACACTCGCGACATTTACAACTGAAAGGATGAGAGACAACTGAGAAAGATTTTAGCGAATGGCAAGCGGTAAAAAGAAGTCCACCATTCTCTCTGTTCCTTATACAACTTAGAATAGAAGTCAAGACAAAAGGAAGACGCAAGCGACGCACACACACACGATAAAGCACACATACAACCAAAATGTACGGTTACAGCTTAAAACAATTTGCCACTTGCTAATAATGAAGTGAAACTGAGAAAGAAAAGGAATATGTAGGTACAGTTTCGACTATGCTGATGCGTGCGCAGCTTACACTCATACATGGGCAACTGCTAGAAGGAGAGACAAATTTGAAATATAAAGCTAAAGGGGAATGCTAAAAATTTAACGGAAGCAGCTAAAAGGAAGAGAGACTACTTTGAAAGTTCGTTAAAAAGATGTTCACTTTTTGTAAAATATTAAATCCTATTTATAATATCAAGACTTTAAATAAAAATATTATTTTTATTCTGTAATAACATTTAAACTTTACGAGATCCTCGATAATTGGTTAAAATATTCATCATAACTTTGACATCTATTTCCAAATTGTTTAATGGCGTTCAAAATGAAATTCGCATAGAAGTCAAGACAAAAGGAAGATGCAAACGACGCACACAGACAAGACAAAGCACACATACAACCAAAACTTACGGTTACAGCTTAAAAAAATTTGCCACTTGCTAATAAAGAAGTGAAACGGACAAAGAAAAGAGGAAGAAATAGGTACAGTTTCGTTTATGCTGTTGCTTGCGCTGCTTACACTCATACATAAGCAACTGCAGGAAAGGGAGACAAATTTGAAAGATTTAGCGAAAGGGGAACGCTAAAATTTAAAAAAAAATGCTAAAAGAAACCCAATTTAAGAATATATGTATTTAATAAATTAAAGACCATTTTGCTTGATACCAACAGATGGGTGGAGAGTAATTTATTAATTGTATGTCATACACAATTCGCTTATACACAAAGATACAGGCCCAAAGATCAGTGCCAAATATGTTTCGCACTTAGTTTGTTTGTCTTGTTCCGTGATTTTCTATAAATTAGCAACAAAATAAAATAAAAAAGAATTTTACCTTTTCATATGCATACATACATCAGTTTAACATTCGTTTCTTGTTTTGTTTTTTTTTTTGTATTTGTTGTCTTCGAGTTTTACACATCGTCCAAAAAGTAGAAAAATGTTATGTCTAAAAAAATACAGGGTAACATATTTCTCCTAAAAATTTGTTCTTTGTCTTTGCTTTTCATACATTGGTATGTATATATATATAAATATAATTTATGTTTGATTTGCTTGGTATTTCTTAAGTGTTATACAAGTATATCTTAATTAATTTACTTGCTTTTGTATATATATTTTATATTTATTTTAATTAATTTCTTTTTTTTTTTTTTTTTGGTACAGAGGTTTTTAAAGACATAAAAACAGGCGCTAGTTGAAACCTTGGAGGGACAACAGATTGATCATCCTATTCATTATAGAGATATAATATGTATGTACATATGATTTTTGTGGGCAAATACATATATGTATCTCAAATCCCTTCGGTTTTTGTTTTTATCGAGATGTTTTGAATACCCTGTAGTCTGTACATTGTGTGTTTAGGTGAGTGTCTTATTTATTTTGTTTAGAGGCTAAAGCAAGGCGGGTCTTAAGGATCGAGTAGTTCCTCTAGCTTTAAGCTAACATTTTAACAAACAAATCTATGAAAATTGGCAACAGTGCTTTATTTAATCCAAGCTCTACTCTGGTTTTTAGTCCAGGGTTTTCATATTTCATCATTATCATCAAAGGAGAAGTCAGGCACTTACTATAGTTCAACAGAATCCGATCTCTCTATATAAACTCTATATTAATTTATGTACAACTATAAGCTATATACACATTGTGGTTAAACAATAATTATAAATTAAAAATTTTTATTAATTTTTTACTATAAACAAAACCCACAGAATAATAATCAGATATAATTAGCAGATATTACTGCAACTAAATTAAATAAAACGCATATAAAGGAAACAAAATATTTCACATTTTGATTGGTGTGTATTTGGTAAGCAAAAAAAGTTTTATAATCAATTATATATATGTATATATATATATATAATATATATCATTTATATATATAAGATAATAATTATAATAATAATAATAATGCGATATAATAATTAAAATAGAAGAAAAAACACGTTAACAAAACTGGTTAGCTTATTGGTTGTTTTTCTGGGTATATATGGGGATATAGGAGTTGTGGGATCGGGAAGATAGTTTAGTTCTTTCCACCTTCTCTTGGCTAAAGCTTAAGGTTGTTGTATAACAATATTTGTCGTATATGTACTTTGCTATTGCTGTGTGTAATTTATATATATATATATATATTTTAATATTATATAGCTACATAGAATTTGTTTAAACTTAAGCGACAACGACAACAACACAGGTGGCGATTGTCTTTCACTGTGTCGTGCGAGGGAGGTTTTTTTTTTCATATGAAAAGGGTATATTTTTGTTCTTAGGATCTTAAGTTAAAGCTAGGTATAAAGTTATTTTGTTGCTTTCGCTTCTAATATATATTTTAGTCACATTCCTTCCCCACGAATATGCTTTTTAATGCAATATTCTTATGTTATTAAACTAGAAAACAAAAAAAAAAAGAAACCATAATCATAAGTTTATCATTTTTTTTTTTTTGAGGAAACAAAATATTTTTAATATTGTTTTTTTTTTTTGTTTGTTTGTAACAACTAGCAAATTGGTTTTCTCTTTGACATCAACATAGTTTAGTTTAGTTTCGTAATTGGTAATTTAAATACATATTTATGTATATAATTTTTAATGCGATCTTTGCTTTTGCGTATTTGCTTTTTGCTAAAAAGGTACATGAAGTGTATACACTTAGGGCGTCGTTCTCTTTGTCAAGTTAATCATCAATTTTCTTATTTAAATGTTAAGTATTCCTTGGTTTCCACAAATATGCCTATGTAAATATGTGCAGCATTCTAATTTCAACAGCTTTTTCCATATACAATTGTTGGAGTTTTCATTTAACTAAAATCGGCTAGCTTACAGTTTTGATTCTCGTTAACAAATGTTTATCATTTCAACTACGTAACCATCTAATGAAGCTTATAATTAAGATTTTATATTTTACTGCCCTCGCTTATCAACTAAATATCTTTGATTTAACAGTTGCTTGAGTGTCGTGTATGTGGGAAGGCTAAAATAGGGAGGGTTCTTAGTTATATATATCAATATCTATATTTTCAATATATATAGATATATATATATATAGCTAAGATTGCATATATATATATATATATATATGTATTCATGTATTCGTATAACAAAGCAGTTCAAACAATTCAACAGATCTATCTTTTGTTTTTAGCTAAGGACTCAATATATAAGGCGCTAAATGTGTGTTCCCTTGCGGGTGGTTTCTTGCTTGGCCTATCTTAACTTTCTCTATATCTCTTTTTTATATCTCTATATATATATGTATATATATTTATATTTCTTATATCGATTTTGTTTTTAGATCATTTAAGTAGTTTTTTGTTTTTTTAGATCTTATATGTGTAGGAAAAACATTTTCTTGCGGCACAAAATCGAAATAAAAAAGAATTTTAATCTTAATTCTGGTTGCTCTTTGTACAAACGTTGCGTTTGTTTTCTAGCTTTTTTTCCTTTTTTTTCTCTTGCGCTTTTTACAATTTTTTTTTTTTGTTTGTTTGTTATTTTGTTTCACATTTTCTTTGATTTTTTGTTTTCGTTCTTAGCTCAATTTGTTGGTGTTTACTTTTTGTTTGTTTAACTTTCTTTTGATATAAACCTTGTCACTGATACGCTGGAAAGTTTTCTTTGTTTGTGTCCCTCATTTCGCAAGTTAAAACGAATAAACTAAATTTTTTGTATGTTTTACTAAAAGCTAACAACAAATTTAAGAACCAGAAACTTTTCCATTTCATCTGGTTACCATTAAAACTATTTTCTTTTCTTTTTTCTTTGCGTTTGGTTTGTAAAATATTTGCACAATTTAAAATTAAAAGCTAAAAAAAATCAGAATTGCACTTAACAGCTAGGCATTATAAGAAATTGCAGCTAGGATGGCTAGTAAATCATATATATAATAATAGTTAATCAATTATTATTTAAATGGCCAACAATCAATTGCGGGGCAAAAGGTTAAAGTTAAATTTAAAAAAAAAAAAACAATTAAGCTTAAATTTAAAATAATAAAAAATAAGATAGTCAAGGATTTGTATAACAAACACGGGGAAAGGGTAAAAAACACACAAAAAAACAAAAATTGTAAATTATAGAGCAAAAACATATGCATGTAAGTTTGGATTTAAGATTAGAAAAATTAAGTCTAAATGCTCTGTGATTTTAACAATTTTTTTTTTGCTTTAGAAAGAGACAACAACAACAGGTCGCAGGGGGTAGGGCGAGATGGCGCTAGGGAGTTTAGGGCAGTAATTGGGGGCGCGGTAAGTAGGCGCTTTTATCGTTGGCTGTATTAGGTCCATTTGCCGCCAGCCTGTCGCCATATTCACCGCATCCAAGCCGACTTTCGCTTGATCTTAGTGCGTAATCCTCGCAATGGTTTTACTTTATTTTTACTTGCCGCCGCCACCATTGCAGCACTCAAATGCTGTGGTAACATCCCACCTCCCACACCGACCGAAACCACACCGCCTACACCGGGCATGCAATGATTGTTCACACCACTCAGATAAATACTGGTATTTTGACCGGCCGACGAGGTGTATAAATCCTGATGAATCTGCTGCTGCTGTTGCTGTTGTTGCTGTTGATGGGCCAGTGCCACATTGGCAGCTGCACTGCTCAATAAGGCCATTTTACTGCCACTGCCATTGGTGTAGACTGCCTGATTGCTGCCAAATTGATGCTGGAGGTGCTGCTGATGTGGATGCTGATTCTGCTGTTGCTGTTGCTGCTGTTGAAGATGGTGGTGCAGATGCTCCTCTTCTAAACTGTGACTTGAGGCTCGCTTGTGCGGGGATCCATGACTGCTGCCACTGCCACTGCCGTTACTGTAATAGTGGGTGGTGGCCACCGAACCGCATTCTACGATCGAAGAGCGGGATAGCGAGAGCAGGGCGTCGACACCATCCCTATGTCTCTGCCGATCGGCCATTTCCTCGGGTGTGATGTCGTGACTAATGGGACACAAAAAACCAAAAATTATAAGTCAGGTATTTTTTCAAAGTTTCTATCACATAAAACTGCAAATCTGATTCTAAACTCACTTCTCCTCACTGCTATCGTAGGCAGCATCCGAACTGGCGCCATTGCTATCGGATCCAGCTTCACCTTGGTTATTTTGAGCTTGAACCACAGCCTGCACCACGCTGGCCAAGACATTGCCATTGGCCAGCGGAGTGGAGGAACCACTGTCCGCATTGCTGTTACCGCCCGCCGAATAAGTATGATCCTCACTTGGAGAGCTCGTAATCACCGGGGCACTTCTGCAAAATAAAAGTATAAATTAAGATTGGCATTTGATTATATTATAGTTGCTCATAGAAATTACCCATTCTGGAAGGGCTCACTAAAGGCTTTTGATCCGTGTTTAAGGAAGAGCATCGCCGCTGCAGCATGTACATCGTCCATACTGTCCGCTCCGCAATCGCGAGCCAGTCGCTCGAAATTAATGCCATCGGAAGCTCCGTTTGTGGTGGAGCCAACACCAGCACTACCGCTGCTAGCTCCAGTTCCATTCAAACCCACATAGTTGTACTTGCTGCCATTATTATTATTATTGTTGTTGTTGTTGTTGTGATAGTCCCCGGACAAATCATCATCGAGAACATCTTGCAGAAGTTGCTGTCCGGCTGAGTCTTCGCGTATATTCCCAAAAGCTCTGGACAGATTGGGGAATAGTTTAGGATCAAAGCGGGCATGACTTCCACTGCCACCGCCATTGGGACTATGCGGTCTGGCTGCATTTGTGGCCTGACTAGCACCATTGGCCACCACCAAACCATTGCTTTTCGTGGGCGTGGACATAGCAACGGCAGCAGCTGGAACTCCAGCTCCCGTAGGCACTGATTGAACCGAGGACACAGCACCACTGCCGCCATCGAGACTATCATAAGTTGATCCACCACTGGGACTCTTGAGCGAAGGACTAATCTTATCCACTGCCGAGTTGGGAAAGAAAGGCGATCGATTCAAAGCCTGGATGAGATTCTGGCGCTGCTGTGGCTCCACACGCCACAACGATCCCTTGCCCATATTTGGCGCTTTTTCAACCTTAACAAAACTCTTGTTCAGCGAGAGATTGTGACGTACACTATTCTTCCAACCATTGGGCGCCGTCTTAAAGTATGGAAAGTGTTGGACAATCCACGCATAGATCTCTTTCACAGGCAGTGCCTTCTCATTTGAACCCTCAATGGCCATGAAGATCAAGGAACTGCAAAAGGTACAAAAAAATTTTAAAATATGAATACAAGGAATATATTTAATCCTATAATTACCTAAAGCTATATGGCGGCTTGCTATCGGTATGCACTTGCGGATCGTATGGCACGTTATTGGGATGCTTTTGTTTTTGTGGCGTAATGGAACCAGCTCCTCCACCATTTACGTTGCTATTGCCATTGCCATAACCATTGGCACCGTTTTTAGATACCGAATATTGGGGGGTGCTTGTATGTATCCGTGAACTGGCCATCAGATCGAATTCTTTCAGTGAATCTTCGTTGTCGTAGCTAGTGTAACTATTAGGACTTCGCAGGTTAACTCCACCTCCTCCACCGGACCCTGCAGTACCACCGCCTCCTGCTCCTCCCCCCACTGATCCATTGTGCAGTTGACTCGTTGATGTCAGATTTTGTGGCGGCGGCGGGGAAACGGATAACTGCAGACTACGTGGCTGTAAAGTCGTTGTGGTTGTACCCGCTGCAGTGGTGCTAGTGGTATAATATGTTCCAGGCAACAATGCTGCTCCAGGTGGTGTCTCCGGTGAGGCCACATTGGCTGGTGTGGAACTAGAAAAGTTTAAGATTAAGCGTTAGTTACTAGTTTTTTTTTTTTAAATAATTCTAGGATAAACTTACATGACATGCGGCGTACTGGCTACGTGATTAACAAAGCTATAACCAGGAGGCAGGGATCCGGCACTAATCAAAGTCGTTGTGGTAACCACAGCCGGTTGATCCTGGCCATGGATTATCGTTTGGCTGCTTGGTGTGCTATTGCTGCTACTGTTACTGCCGGCTGTCGATGTGGCATAGTTGACCGCCTCGAAGACAGTGCTAAAACTGCTGGCCTTGGGCACTGGGCTATTACCACCATTTACAGCCGCTGTCGAGGATCCGGAACCTGATACAGATCCTGAATTGGAACTGCTTATCGAGGAATTGTTCGAGGAAGCCGGCGAACTGACCACCGTAACCGTTGAAGCCACATGACTACTATGATCCATCTGAACGTGCATCTTTTCGCGAAGATATTTTTTGTGCGGATGGTGGGTGGTGGTGTTGCTACTGCTACTGCTGCTGGTACTTGGTGAGCATAGAGCCTGGCTGGTTGCCTTGAAAATGGCTCCACCACTGACGACTGTGGTTCCTCCGCCTGCGGTTGTACTCCCATTGCTGGTCACATAAATCTGTTGCTGTAGCTGCTGTTTGGCGGGTGAGAGTAAAGGTTGATTGGCGGCACTGCTAACCACCACCGGCATATAGCTATGACCGACCATTGTGGTTCTTGTCGGAGTTGGCAAATAGGTCGTCTGCTGTTGCTGCTGTTGATTGGCTTTGCTGGCTTTGTACTCCACCACGGTGGTGGTGCCACTGGCTCCTTTGTGCACTGTGGTGGTGCTGTACACAGCTGACCCATTGACTGATCCACCGCCTGCCTCCTGTTCACTGGTTTCACTAAGATTTGTGGGTAGCTCTTCTATCAAATCACTGACTATACACAGATTACCATTGGTAGCAACTGATCCTGATACTGCTTCACCATCCGTTGTCTTAATGGCCACAGCTGGTCTACGTTTTCCAGCCTGTCCGGCTGTCGTAGTCACAATGCCCTTAATTAGATCTCTATCGTTTAGCCAGGACAACGGTCGCAATTCTCCATCATCTTCAGAGGTTCGTACATTAACCAAAGCTTCACCGGTTCCAATTTCTAGTGGCTCGGTAGCAAGGAGCACTATATTGCCGCCACCTGTGGAACCAACGCCTCCGGTGGCCGTCGTACTTGCAGCAGATCCATCGTATGCCGTAAAGCCACCATTGTGATTGTGTTGCAGAAATACATATTTTGAGGCACTTGCCGGCATGTTGATATTGCTTGTGGATATAACTGGTGTTATTACAGGTGGCGTTGCTGCTGCTGCTGATGATGATGATGATGATGTTGCTGTGGTGCCGGTGGTGCTACTGCTGCTGCTACTGCTATTGTTGGCAGATGTTGGTGGCGGTGGTGCAATAGTGCGATATCCATGGGCGGCAGCAACTGTCGGCGCTGCCACCACAGATGTGGTCGTGGAGGCCACCGCTACGCCGGATTGCAAATGGCCACGTAGTTGGCTCAAATCGCGGGTGGTCAGCAACTGTGTGGGATTATCTGTGGACATGCTGTAATGGAAAAAGGATATGAATAAGGTTACTACAGTTAAAAAAACAATACTTAAAGCATAGACTATAAATGTATTAATTTCATTTCAATGATTTATCAAACGAAAACTGTTTAATTATTACATCATCAGGTTAAGATTTCAGCAAAGAGGCTTGCTAAACTTTAGCTTAACCAATCGAAAAGACTTAGTCTTATAACCATAGTCATAATCTTATATCACTCAATCAGATATGATTTATAATATATATATATCGATTGTGATATTGAGATCATGAGGTTTGAAATCAATTGCTTCCGGACATTTCATTTAGGACTGCGATCATCGAACATTATTATGAATTATTAAACATTTTGCTTATTGCCTCATCATTAGGTGACATAAAGAATTCCTGCTAAATAACTTTTGGTTGTCATGCTATTTTTAAGCCAATTTTGTATTTTTAGCCAAGCCCGATGATGATCTAATAATAAACTGATGAAATGATCAATTTGCTGCACTTTGTACGGTCATCAAATTGGTTTTTCGTGATGGTTTTGTGACTGAAGTGAAAAACCGCATTATTATTTAGCAGTTCATGTTTATTGTTGTTGAACGTCCTTCGCCACTTTTATTGCATACTTTAACGGGGTATTTGTACCCCCTTGGTACACCCTCGCTATATTGTTTTTCATTTTACGCAATCGAAGACTTCATTTTTTTTTTTTTTTTTTTTTTTTTTGCGTTTTTCTGTTGATGTTTCTAATTTACGCGTGTTTGGTTTTTGTGGCATTTTTATGACACTAACAACGTTGGCACTTCACCTATCTCTTTCAGTTCTGTTAGTCCCATCTCTTTCTACTTGTGAGGATTATCTTATCAGTATTTCTGTGTGCGAATGTTATACTTTCCCATTATAGTTTCCCACCATTTGGACTTGTTTTCTTCAACTAACTTTAGGTTATACAGTCCTCAAAGATTCTACTTAAATTAAATATGAGTCCAAAGATCGTTGATCGATAACCAATTCCATAACAAGTAATTATTCGATTACAATTGCCATTCTTCTCAATCAGTGTAAACGTTACTTGATTAACGAGCACATAAAAGATTTCTAAAGTTTATATTTTAACTAAGTAAGAATGGAAATAAAAACTCAAATATCAACGATCGATAATAATCACTATTCGATATAAAAACAATCATATAAAATTCAAAGGTTGATGATCGATCGATAGCAAAATTAAATGTGTAATCATTCAGTCATCACATGCCAATACATCAATGGCAATTAACTTAAATATTCCTTTTTGCCCGAGGGGCAGCATATATTTGCCGCTGGGCTTGCAAATCGAAAGAGTGAAAGAGACGTCTAAGCGTCAGGGCGTTCGAGCGGTAAAAGGGGTGGGGCAGCCAACAAAGTGTATTATTATTTATTGATTTTCATTTGAGGCAGGCACAATAAGAATAACTACGGAAACTAACAAAAAGTCAACAATAGAAATGTCGAAGAGGCAAATTTACTTTTACAACCCACAGTGACACTGCAGTAAATGAGATGCAATGCATCTGGATACAGTTGTCGCTAGATAGATAATTATTAGATTGACTGCGGGATTCTTTCGATATTTGTAACTGAAGCATGTGGAGTTTTAGAATCTAATTAAAATATCGATTATTTTGATAAATGCCAATATTAACATTCTTCCAAAAAAGACATGACTGTATTTCCTTTTTCTTTTTCTTCTTTTGATAACCTACCTGATTTTAGCCATTGTTTTGCATGTGCAAAGATTGGGAATGGCAAGGGAATAAAGGGAAAGAACGAGAACGAAAAGAGGTAGAAAAAAGCGCGCCACAACAAAACCGTAACCGTAAATGCGAAAAACACAACAAACGCGACGAGAACGAAACGAACGAGCAACAAAAAACAAAAAAAAAAAGCTCCGCTGACCTCCAACGCCGGCAGCGCTGCCTTCGCTAACGTCATTACACTGGCCGACCAAACAAATAGTACAGCTTGGAATTCATTTATTGTTATGAACAATAAAAACCTAATCCTATCCACAAATCATTTTTTATTTTAAATTTTTTAATACAAATTTGTCTTTGCTTTAAATTAATATGTGACGTAAAAAGACTTCTTAATATCCAATCTGCTTTTATTTTTCAGCAATGTCTGGAATTCGTTTATTGTAGCAACAACGACGCAATTTTTGTTTTCTTTTTTTCGAAAGTCTACTCGTTGTCTTGGCAACTTTTTACTGTGCTTTTTATATATGTACATATGTATATATATACATATATTTTTTTTCGTATTTTCTCGACAACAACAAAATAATAACAAGACGCTTACGAATATTTTATTTTGCAGCGTCGCAAGAGCGGCAAAAACTGCGAGAGAGAGAGAACGAACCAAAACAACGTGTTTGAGATAAGAAGAGGAATGATGGGGGCAGGGGTTTTGTGGGGTTTGGGGTGTTGCGTTGCCTTTGACATAATTAATTAGCAAATATGGCCGCATGACGACAACAACAATAGCTACCAAGTACAACAATAAGAATCGAAAAAGCAACAGCAATTTTTGGACAATGTAACAGTGGAAAAACTCTCCATCGAAAAATGCCGATACATATGCTCAGTATATATCGCTCTTTCAATCCAGTGAAAGGCTCTCTTCTTTTTCAGTCGCTCTCATTTTGAATTTGTTTATCTCTGCTTTTGTTGTTTTTCGAAGAGAGCCAGAAAGAGAGAGTGAGTGAGAGACGACCACGCATTTGTTTTTGAGTCGCTTTTTCAGTTTGTTATTACAGTAGAACTTGACTATCTCAAACTAAAGTAATTTCACAAATTGTTGCATTTCTTGCAACCAAATAATAGAAATGAAAATCTTAAAAGTTATTTTATGGCATATTAAAAAAATAAAAGTAAAAAAAATTAACTTTAAAACGTAATAAGACATTAATATCTGATGGCTGACGCATATGAAAAATGTATTCGGCCTTAAGAGCGTGCACTGTAGTAACGTTTTAAGATTAGTTTTGTGTTCTAGAAACGTCAACGTCACCGTCAAATTTGCTCTCTGGTTTAGCTTTTTGGCTATGACCTGGGGACCTTTCTCCTGCATGGAGCTGCTTTAAATGTCAACTGAAAGCCCCCCAAAAACCCACATTTTAGCCAGAAAAGTCACAAGGAAGAAAGAGAGCAAGAGAGTGCAGGTCTTGCATTACGGAGTCTTTTCTTCTACGGGCCATTAACAGGCAAAAACAAAAAAGAATATAAAAAACCAGTGGTAACTGTACCTTGGCAAACTGCTTGCTAAAAAACAAAAGCCAAAATTAAAAAAAAGTAACAGAAAAAGTAGAAAAGCAGCAGCAGCCACGCTAATGAAAAGCCATGAAACTACTGAAGAGAACATCATAATGATGATGGTAGTGTTAGAGAATGAATCATACAGATATATGATATATATACTAAGTGTGCACAAAACGCAACACTTGGATGCTTATGAGACCATCTAAAAAAATAATCGTAAGGGAGCACCTTTAGCAGTAAATAAAAATAACGACTAACAAGTGAAGTTAAGCTGGGGTAAATGATAGTCAAAACAAGTTGATACCCTTTAAATGTCAAATAGAAGTACGAAAGTATATCAGTAAATGCAATTATATTTAACAAAAACGTATTTATTTAAGTTTATGATTTAATTATATTAAATTCTATTAATTAAATTTATAAAAAATTAGACTGTTTTTCCTTCAAGCCCCTTTTGAGCGTTCAGTTACCTTAGCTTTCCCTCAAAAACTAACTAATCATGTGTAAGTATTAACCCTTTTTCCGCTTAATTTTCCTGACCCACTTCGTATTTGTATTACTTTATCATGTTTGTTCATTAAGAATACCACCCATAAATGCCCTCGAAATGCAAAGGCAAAAATGAAACCTCATAGAGTAGAGTAATCAGCGTGAGACTGGTTCAATAATAATAATACACAGAAACAGACGAACATACAAATAATTGACAGCCAGCATGTTTTGTTTTTTTTTTCGTCTTGCTGTTGTTGTTGTGAAAATTGTCTCGCAATTGAAATGCCAGTGGGGAAAATGTGGAAAAATCTATGAAATGTTAAATGAGTTGTTTCCTCTTTTAATAAAAGTAATACAAAACAAACAAAAAAAACAGACCGTGAGCTGGAAATAATTTATGTATGCACGTATATAGAATATTAAAATTACAATAATTTCCAAAGGGTAGCCGGCTTTTTTCTTCTTCATTCAAAGTTATTATTAAATAAAAGGTAATTGCAATTGCCTTTCATAATTACAACGCTTTGTTTTTTTGTTTGTTTGTTTGGGGCAAAATAAAATATACAATAAACAATAGGTAAAAAGCAAAAATATTGCAACAGCTTTTAAAAACATTTCACGTAACAAAGAGAGAGAAAGAGAAAAACTTTTGCATACTTCCGGCCATCAACAAGATAACATAGAAGGCAAAAGCAAAAACCAAAAACAAAACAGTAATAAAAGCAAATTGCGGAAAAAGGAAAAGCAGTAGCAGTATAATTTAAGAGAACTTTTCACCCCTTTCTCTTTCTTTTGCCCATTTCATGAAATATAAACAAAAATGTCTGAAACTCATTTAAATTACAGAGAACAAAGGGTAATCAAAAATTGTTTTTTGAGGAATTACATTTTCGAAGAAGTTTTATTATTTAGTTTTAAAATTTAAACTAAGATAAAAAATTGTAGTATTCGTTTTCGTTTTATGGTTTACTATAGTTATTTTCTTTCAATTTTATAATTTCGCTTTTAAAACCTTTTCAAATTTTTACTCCAAATTATAATAAAATCATACAAATTACTATATTTTACTATGATCGACTAAATAAAAATCTATGTTTCAGAATTTTCTCGATATAAGTTGGAAATAACAAAAAAAGCAAGAAAAAACAAAGAAATGATCGAAAGAAAATAAGAAATGCGATGGCGACAACCACGCGGCGTATACGTAATGCCTGACGTTGTGGCCGCCATGTCTGTGTTTCTGCACCAGTGTGCGTCAGTGTATGCCAGTCTGAGGGTGTATGTGCGTTGGTGTCTGTGTGTCGGTTCTCTTTCTCGCGCTTTGCCTTGCACATTACGTATACGCCTGGGTCAAATCATCGAAAAGAATAATAAAACACCAACCAACAGGGCGTTTAAGTTATGAAAAACAAAGAAATCAACAAGAAAATTCTATGAAAAACCAGTAAAATAAACAACTAAATAAAATATATAGATAAGATGAAAACTATATGTCTAATAATATATAATTTATATAAATTCATCAAAAAATTGGTTTTAAGTTAAAAGCACAATTCTTACAAAAATTAAAAAAAATGCAAGGAACCCCTTTATTTATTTATAATTATGAACAAAGAAACAATACTGATTGAACTTTTTACCAAAAACTCTTCTTGAAAACAAAGTATAAAAAAAATCAAATGCTTGAAAAATATAAATAAATTTCTATACAAGTTTGGTTAAGTTTTCTATATAGACGCTTTAGTTTTATTTCTATCTTTTCTTTTTTTTTTTGTATACACTGAAAAACGCAACAAGGCCGCTAGAAAAACGCTTTTGGCGTTTATAATTGCTGTTGATCGCTTTTGTTGTTTTCCATTTATTGTTAGTTTTATTGTTAGCTCTTTCGCGTCGTTTTCGAAAAAAAAAAAAACAAAAAACAAATGTCATTGCACGTGTGTGTGCGAAAACTGTAGAAGAGAAATAGAGTGAGAGAGGTAAAGAGAGTAATTTCTTGTTAGTGTGTCATCTTTTTAATGTTTCTCTTCGGAAGAAAAAAAATAAAGCTCTATAACTAATTACTCATGAATTTCATTTGTATTATCATATCTAGAAGTACAGTAAGTATTTTCCATACTTAAAAAACAACAATTTCCAATTCATTGCGAAAGAGCGTTTATTGTATAGAAAAGCAGTTAGAACTGCTTTGAACGCCAAAGAGAAACGACAAAGAGTGGGCCAAAGAGATAGGGAATCAAGAAAAGAAAAAGAGAAATAAACCAAAAATTTCAACGTGGTTTTCTTGGCATTTTTTTCTTAGTTGTTATTTTTATACACATTTAGTGGCTAAGTTTAAGGCATGATTATGAAATAGGAGAATGTATAGAAAATCGGGCATTACGCAAAAAATAAAACCTAAAGCAAATTGAAAAGAAATGGTGAAAAGATGACAAAATGCCAAGTTGTATATTTGATTGGGAAAAAAAAACACAATTTAAAATTCAAATTGTAATCTGCGATACTCTGTCTCTCTCTTACACAGTTGCTCTTTTTCTCTCTCACTCTCTCTTTGTTTGCCATTTGTATTTCTTATTATTATTTTTGTTTTACTCACACACAAACACACACAGTTTTTTTTTTTATTTTTATGGTCCGTTTTAAATTATTTTGCTTTTTAAATATATTTTGTATTTATCTTTATTTTGTATTGATTCAGATTCCATACAAGGCGTTCCCGCAGTTTTATTATCGCACGCAAAAAAAAATGTATTTATATATTTTTAAAATCGTTTTAAAGCATATTAATATAAGTTTTGGTATTTATTTTTAAATTTATTGTAAAATGTAGTGAAATATATATAAGTTTTTAAAGTTTTTTACAAGATTTTTCTTGTTAATCTCGAACCGTAAAGCACGCGAGCAGGCAAACGAATGAAGCAAAGCGGCGGCAACAGCAATTGAAAAACCGACCCCACCAACACACACACCACCTTACGCCCAACAACAACAATACTCCTTCCCTTCCTTCACTCTCTTTCTCACTGTGGCGAAAATCACACAAAGCTTCCATTGTATGCGAGATCGAGAGAGCTAGAGAGAGAGCCGGCAAAGCGAAAAAAAAGCCAAAGCAAAGTCAAAGCGTCGTAAACAAGCTTGTTCTCACAAGGTACAGTAAACATTTAAAAGAAGAACGTAAATTATATTTATTAGAGTCATATTCATTATTGAATTGTCAAAAGGTTTTTCCGATTTTTACTATGGCTCCTAAAATACATATATTATATTTTATTACGAATTTAGTTGGTATAAAGACTATTACGTTTTGTAATCTATCTTTCAGAGTCACTACCGTACCAAATATCTATGTACATATATTTGTACATATGTATGAGTATTGTGCGTCCGCGCATGACATTGCCATTTATTGAAGTGAACAGAAACAAATACAAATACAAGCAAATAAAAGAAAAATGCGAAATAAAAGTATAGTTTGACAACAAAAACATATACTTAAATTTGTGGAGGCCAGAGCTAGCTACCTGTCCCTTTCTCTTTGCATCCCTTTTCGCTTTCTCCTTCAACAGCACCCTTCCCAACCAGCCATCTCTCTTGTTTTTCCTTAATATAAACAACTTTTGACAAGGATCTCAGTGTAACAACAAAGGATAAAGGCAAAAACAAAAAATAGGCACAACAAACAGCTGTTTGGGCTAGGCTTAAAAAGCAACTCTTTAAAGCTCTTAATTCAACACCACTCTCTTTCATTCTACTCTTTGGCTATATCTTATAAGAGCCAAAGTGACTCACAAGTCAGTATTTGTATTACAAACCTCTAAATATTTATAAATAAATAAAATGGTAACAGAAATTAATGCTTAACAAAATACGTCATTGCTTTTGCTATAAAAACAAATGAGAATCCAAAGTTTAAACAAAATTCGTTGATTTAACGACCAGAAAGATCGCAAGTTTAAAGGCTAAAAAAAAAAAAGAAAACAAAAACAGATGTCTTTATTTATTATATTTAAAATAAACTAGTAATTAATCAACTAATTGCTAATTAAATTAAAAGAATGTGTTTCCCAAATGCCGATAATTAAAACTACACGTCATAATTAAAAGCCTTAAATAAATGTAAATTAAGACGTTTGTTTATTTTGCTAGCCAACAAAACTGTGATTGTTGATTAAATGCATAATTAAATTAATTAAAATAACGCCAACATTTTTCTGCCAAAAAACAAAAACAAAAAATCATATCCGACACGTGCGACAAAAAATTATACGCAAGGGAGGGAGTGGTGGAGGAGTGGCAGAGAGAACCAAAGGAGAGCAGTGATAGAGCAGGAAATACAAGAAGCCAAAATACAAACGTATACACATTAAAAACAATAAAGCGAATGCAAAGATTCCAATAGAAACAACAAACAAAAATGCAGCAAGGCACTGAAAAAATTTTAACTCAATAAATTTGTAACCAATTAATATTTATATAATAATCAACAAACTTTCGTAGTTTTATGTTTGATATAATTTTGATTTTGAATTAATATTTTTAAACTATTCTTCAAGTTTTCAATTTATTAAGTACGCTATTGTAATTTCTCGATGTGCACTCATTTTGTTTGAGAATTGAGGTGTTGCTTTTGTTGTTTTTAGGTGTTGCTGCTTAAACATATTTAATTTTAGCAATAGCAGCGGAAAATTTAACAACGACTGCCGCTTATGTATCATCCTATATTTGTTGAATATATAAATAAATTTATACAACTTTTCCCCCATTCCAAGACGCACGCACAACAACAAAATTGAAAATAAAAACGCCACGAAAAGAAAAAATATAATGAAAGAGAGAAAATCACAGAGAGAACTCAAAGCTCAAAGAGCAGAGCACAAAACGCAAGCAAAAAAAAAAAAAAAACAGCATAAATAAAAACGAAGTTTGCCGGCTTTTTGGGCACCAAACCAAAGAAATGAGAAGAAGAAGAAGAAGAAGACGTAGGAAACTGCAGTAGGAGAGACAACAAAAGAAATAACTAAAAATATACATAAATGTATGCATGTAAAATACAAGTATTTCTATGTAGACAAATATATACTTATACCCACTTGCGGTTGAAAAAGTAGCTGCTACTCTGTATTATATCACCAACGATAAAGGATACTTAAGTTATGACTAAATAATATGTATGACCTCATTCGGAGTATACTATGATTCGAAATACCTATTAAATATTTCGATGTACTATAACCAAGAATTTAAGTAAAAATTGTAATTAAAATATAAACCACAGTATAAAAAAATCCTACAAAAATGGAATATTTATAACTAAGGTACTATTATTTTTATAAATTTCGAAATATAAACATTTTCAGCACCCACAGTACCTATGGATGTACATATACTTATGCAGTCGTGTTGCTAGTACATTTTGTTTGCTGTTTTTGTCGCTTTGGCATTTAAGTCTTTTTCGCTGTTGCCAGGCCAACAAACTTACAGTCCCCGATAATCCTCACCAAAAAAAAAAGAAAAATAAATAAATAAATAAAATACAACAACAAAAATACACCTAGATCATCTGACGACGGACTTTACCTTTCCAACTGACAATTTTTGGTTTTATTCTACTTGATTTTCTTTTTTTGGTCGCCTGAAAATTTCAATTTCAATTGATTTCGTCGTCGTTCAGCCAAAATAAAACCATCATGTGTTCTTTTTGGCTTTTCCTCCTCGTGCACATCTGCATTTCACTATCTGGTGTGTTTAGTTCAGTTTATTTTTGCTCTTATTTTTTAGTTTACTTTTTTTTGTTTTTTTTTTTGTATTCGCTCTAAGCAATTACACAAGGCATCGCCTGTGCAAGAACAACAAATTGGGTCAACCGCAATTAATACAACTAAATATAGACAAAGCGTACATATTCCCCGCAAAAAATAATAATAATAAAAAAGAGGAAAAACAATATGTGTGCCTGTATATATATATAAAAAAAAAGGGGGAAAAATAATAATAATGAATAATTAGTTTGTTAAGCGTTGATAGAGCAAAAGTGGTTTACCAAAAAATTAAACAGAAAAACCAGAAATTGCTGATAACAGTGAAAACTATCTGCATCGGTGGCGTATACGTGATGTGTATGTGTGATAAATAATGGACAAGGAATGTATAGCCTAAAGAAATGCATAATTGCATTTCATACGCATTCCTTCAAAGTATCACAACAATCAGATGGAAATTGATTAGAAAACACATTTTTAAATATCTCAGAAAACAGTGGGGATATAGGATAAAGCTAAATACTAATGTTAAGATCTAGCTAAGGCTGAGATTATACTTTGTCGATAGAAAGGATATTTAACATTTGGGTACTTGCAACAATAAACTGATATTTAGATCGATCAATTTCTCACATATGTCAATTAACATTTCGGCATTTTTAATGTTAAACCCACTTTACATTATGTATAAAATTTAGTTTCTTATGAGTGGTCACTGTAGCCGAACAGTGCGTGCTGGCAGATGGTTAGCATTAGGATGAAAACTTTCGACAAACACTGTGCCCAATTGCCGACGTTCGACTTATTTTTCATTTTGTTTGTTCGGCACACTCGTACAGTGGGCATCAGGCACAGTGGGTTGCCCTTCAATCAACCAACTAAAACCAATTGACACAGACTTGTACGTTAAACGTTTCCGACTAATTAGCACATTCGTATATGCTATGAGCAGGGAAATACAATAATAAAAAAAAAAAACTATAATATGAAGAACTAAGCCACGTTATTTTTTCGTTAAACATTTAGTTAAATAGATGAATTGATAATTGAAGAAAATAAGAGCACATCGAATGGAATTACGTATTCGTACTGTTAACTAAAAAAAAAAAAAGTGATATTTTGTTGATTTTTTATTTGAAATAATTTGCATATTGCATTCGCATTCAGCATTGAATGTAAAACGAACATGTGAACATGTGCTAACAGCTGGGAAAACATTCCATATTATTCTGAATGAAAGAGAGTGGAAAACAAATGAAAAATGTTTATGCTCCCTTGAATTGAAAATTGGTATATAATATAATATGTATATATCGTACATATCACCGTAAAGTGAATTCGGATCCTACAATTGTTTATGAGTCTACACACTTTATAAAGCATAATCTCCAGTTATTCATCTCAAAACAATGCTAACGAAACTCATTTCGGTATTAGTAATAGGTTTTTTATTTTTAAAAGCGGAATTTCAGACTTTTGTGAAAATTTTAATTAATTATATAATTGACCTTAGTCAATATCTGATAGTTTTTATAGTTGAGTACTATAGTCAATCAAATGAATGAATTCAGGGAATATCCTCTTTCCTTCCTTTTTAAAAATAATTTTAAACATTCCATTAAACAAACTTCATCTTCACACAATACCATTGACAAGGAAACCAAATTAACTCTAAAATAAAATTTTATATATTTCAATTTTCCTATATATCACCCTGATACTTATAAACTAACACATTGTTAACTTGCTTTTGACCTGCTATTTCTGTTGATTCTATTTTAAATCCAATTGTAATTGCAATTCGAATTCCAATTCTAATTTTGATACAGATTCAGATGCGTTGCTCTATTTTCTCCGCCTTTGCTGTTGTATAACAACCAACAAAGTTGTCGTCTCTGTTGCTACTTTTAAGTTTTTGTTGTCGTTTTTTATTTTTTCATTTTGTTTGCATTTTGCGCACTATTGCCGCCGTTTACTTGTTGTTTTAATAGTCGCTATATCTTATCGCGCTAACAACTTGGTCGTGAGTGTGTTGGCACAGCTCTCATTGCACGTGTGTGCGTTTTTAGTTGAACACTAATACACCAACACAGTCACTCACACATACCATCTGTACACACATAATTATTTTCATTTTTTATGTAATCAACAAACAAAAAAAGCAACGCCTCAGCCTCAGTTTGCCTTCAATACTGAGGTTCTCAAAAAAAAAAAAAAAGCAGCACACATATGCCTCTAAAGCCCAAGTCAGGTGAAGATTTCTCTAAAGGAACTAAAACAAAATATATATTAAAAGATTTCGAAAAGTGGAAAGTTATTGTAAGTCTTTGGAGAATTGTTGAAACCACCACAGGAGTTCCAATTAATTTATCAATTCCACTTAGACCTTGAACGTTGCACGTGATTGTAGTATTACCAAACTAATGTGCCTAATATTTTCAATATTTGAAAAATGTTTTTAAATTTTTATTCGAGTTTTATTAAAACTAAACCATTTTTATTATAAATCATGAGAAGAAAACGAAAAAAAGAACAGTAGATCATTGTTATTTGTGGATTTAAAAATGCATATTTTATGTTTCTTATTTTAAAAGTATTTTCGAAATCATGTACACCGATCATGCTCTTAAGTTCTTACTACAAAGTGGTTTTAAGTTAACTGACAAAAAAAAACACGAGGCACTGAGAGAAGCAACTTTGGCAGCACGGGTTTTGGGTTTCTGTGTTGCTTTTGCTCGGTGTCCGTTTTGCGTGCCGTTCGACAACCACCCAAGCGACTACCACACCCGCCCACAAAACCACCCACTTGCCGCCCCCGAAAAGTCGGAAATGTTACGGCCGATATTCGATTAGTTTTTAATCCCGCCCAGCGTCAAGGAATTTCAATTTCAAATTGGTTTTTAAGTCGGAAATTGCCGCCACACGCACACACGCAACCAGATAAAAACGACAACAAAAAATAGTGGCACAAAAAAAAAAAAAAAAAAAAAACAACAACAACAAAATGAAGACGATGAAAAACAATAAACAATACACACAACACCAAGAGCTTTTAAAGTTTCAAGTATTTATTGGATTTTCTTGAATACTACATACACAGTTGCATAATCGCCCTGCTAATTGCACAATGCTTTTTGAACCTTAAACACAAACTTTAAGTTGGTTTCGTTTCGAAATGATCTTTAAATCTGCTAATAGATACATTTATATATTTTTAGATTTTTGACATTTATTTTTATTTGAACAACAGAATTTACAAACTATAGACGAAAGTTAACTAACAGAGGGAGGGGGAAAATAACAAAAAGCAATGGCGAGGTCGCTTTATCAAGACACGACGCTATATGCTATATAGCACCACTAACAACAACAAATTAGCGTCTCGGTCAGATAGAGAAAGGGAACGACAGCAAATGACAGAGACAGAGAGTTTGGAGAGAAAAGAGAGCGAAAAGTAGCCACAAATCACACGATCGCAAACTCACACATGAAATATGCAAGAGCAATAACAACAACGACGCCAAAAGTAAAACCAATAACAATTGTATATGAAATATAATATACCCTATAAATCGTACAGATTTGTGTAATTATTTTTTTGTATTTCAATTTGTACTCAGAACGGATTATGAAATTTTATAAAAATACTAACCAAAAACATTTACCTAAAATTTTCGCATTCCATTTAGCTGATACATTTGTAAGGCCTAAAATACCCTAAACGAACACAAATAACGGGGTATAATCAACGACAAAGCGTTGTCGATATTCTGCGCCCCGTTTTTCAGCCAGAACATTTTCTTGCTGACGCAGCGGCGACGCACACCCCCTCCCTTACTCATCACAACCAAACCCCATGCACACACACTCATACATACACATCTATACACACATTCGAATGTGTGTGAATTTAAGTGTGCATGTAAGAGTAACAGGCCAACGCGAAACCGAGAAAAAGCGACAACAGTGAACTACAGTGAAAAGTCTACAAAACGTA